CATTGATTTATTTTTTCTGTAATGCTTTTGTCAGGCTTTCTTATCAGGGTTATGCAGGCCTCATTGAATGAGTTGTGAATTGTTTTATTTGCCTATTTTTTTGGAAAGTTTGTATAAGGTTGGCATTATTTCTTCTTTACATGTTTGGTAAAATTCACCTGTAAAGCCATGTAGGCTTGGAGTCTTCTTTGTGGAAAGGTTTTAAATTAAAGATTCAATTTTTTTTCTTGTAAATAAATTTTATGTTTTAGATCAAGGGTCCACAACCCCTGGGCTGTGGACTGGTGCTAGTCCGTAGCCTCTTAGGAACCAGGCCATACAGCAGGTGAATGGCAAGTGAGCGAGCGAAGCTTTATCTGTATTTGCAGCCTCTCCCCAGCGCTAGCATCACCACCTCAGTTCCACCTCAGATCATCAGACATTAGATTCTCATGGCACTGGTTCTTGGTACCAAAAATGTTGAGGACCGCTGTTGTAGAGCATTTTTAGGATCACAGCAAAAGTGAGCAGGAAACACAGAGGCTTCCATATGCTCCCTGCCCCCACATAAGCATAGCCTCCCCAATTATCAACATACCCCACCACAGTGGTACATTTGTTACAGTCCATGAACCTACACTGACACATTCTTATCACCCAAAGTCTATAGTTTATATTAATAGAGTTCACTCTTCATGTTGTACTTCTGTGGGTTTTGACAAATGTGTAATGGCATGCATCTACCATTATAGTATCATACAGAATAGTTTCACTGTTCTAAAAACCCTCTGTGCTCTACCTATTTATCCCTCCCTATCCCCCAAAATCCCTGGTTTTTTTACTGTCTTCATAGTTTTGCCTTCTCCAGAATGTCATATACTTGGAATCATACATTATGCAGCCTTTTCAAATTGGCTTCTTTCACTTAGTAATACCCATTTAAGTTTCCTCCATGTCTTCTCATGGTTTGATAGCTCATTTCTTTTTAGGGCTGAATGGTATTCCATTGTCTAGATATGCCATAGTTTATTCACTTACTGGAGGACATCTTTGTTTTGGCAGTTACGGATAAGGCTTTTATAAACATCCATGCTCATGTTTTTGTGTGGATTAAGTTTTTATTTCCTCCCTCTTTAATACCGCCCCCCCCAACTTCCACCTCTAACTCATGGATGTTGCCATTTCCCCTTAAGAACTGGATCTCTGCAGGTGGTATGTCCGCTCCCACACGGTTGCGGTGTGCACCTGGGACCTGGCGCACCCAGGGCCTGGTGCACCCAGGGCCTGGCGCACCCAGGGCCTGACACCCCTGGTGCACTCGGGGGGCCTGACACACCCGGGGTCTGGTGCACCCGGGGTATGGTCCATGGCTCCACCTGGGACGTGAACCCAGGACCTTCTGCATGCAAAGCAGACGTGCTAACCACTACACGATGGAGCCACCCTGGACATAAGTTTTTGACTCTTGTGGGTAAATACCAAGGAGTGTGATTGCTGGACCATATGGTAAGGGTATATTTAGTGTTGTAAGGAACTGCCAAACTGTCTTCCAAAGTGACTGTACTGTTTTGCATTCTCTCTAGCAATGAATGAGAGTTCTTGTTGGTCCATTATCTTCACCAACGTTTGATGTTTAGATGTCAGTGGTTTAGATTTTGACCATTCTGTTAGGTGTTGTAGTGGTAGTATTTCATTTTAATTTGCATTTTAATCATGACATAAGATGTGGAGCAACTTTTCATATGCTTATTTGCCATCTGTGTATCTTCTTTGGTGAGGTGTCTGTCCAGATATTTTGCCCATTTTTTGAATTAAGTTGTTCATTTTCTATTGAGAGTTTAAGAGTTCTTTTATAAGTATTGAAAACCCAGAATCTACAACCAAGAATACTTTGTCCAGCAAAGCTATCATTTGGAGTCGAAGGACAGATAAAGAGCTTCCCAGACAAAAAAAAGCTAAAGGAATTCATCAACACTAAACTAGTATTATAGAAATTATTGGAGAGACTTCTTTAAGAAGAAAAACCATTGAGGCAATTATAAGCACAGCATCTGTGGATTGCTTGCTGAATCTTAATAGGTGGCCCCAGAGGGGCATATGCTGGGGCTAAACTTGGCCTGCAGCTGAACCCCTCTCAGGACTGTGCTGCTGGACACCTACTATACAAAGTCACATTAATAAGAAAAGGAGACTTAAGGGCTTTGCTTAGTACATAGAAACAGACATGGAAAGGCAGCCAGAATGGGAAGACAAGCAGAAAGCATATGAGAGAACAGAAAAGAGATCCAGGAATAATGGAGTCAAGCAATCAACAGATGCAGAGTTCAAAACACTGGTTATAAAGATGCTCAGTGAACTTAGGGGAAGTGTAGATGAACTCTGAGAACTTTAACAAAGAGATAAAAAACATAAAAATGGAAATTATAAAAGGGAACCAGTCAGAAATGAAGAGCAAACATATTATTTGAAATGAAGAATATATTAGAGGAAATCAACAGAGTGGATAAAGAAGAACCGATATAGAGGGTGGGGAAGCAAAAGACACTCAATCAGAATGGCAAGAGATAAGATGCCAAGAGTATAAAAATAATTTAAGGAGCCTATGGAACACGATTAAATATAAAAATATCCATGTCATAGGGGTACCTGAAGGAAAACAAGAAGTTGAAGAGCTATTCGAAGAAATGACAATGGAAAACTTCCCTAACCTGGTGAAGGAAATAGACATACAACCCCAGGAAGCTCAGAGAGTCCCAAGAAAGAGGAACCCAAAGAGGCCCACACCAAGACACATCAAAATTAAAATGCCAGAGGGTGAATACAAAAAGAGAATCTTAAAAGCAGCAAGAGAAAAGCAGTTAGTTACCTACAAGGGAGCACCCATAAGACTGGCAACTGATTTCTCAAAAGAAACTATATAGGCCAGAAGGTCTTGGCATAAAATATTCAATGTGATGAAACCCAGGATCTACAACCAAGAATACTTTATCCAGCAAAGCTGTCATTTAGAGTCAAAGGACAGATAAAGAGCTTCCCAGACAAAAATAAGCTAAAGGAATTTATCACCACCAAGCCAGTATTACAGGAAATGTTGGAGAGACTTCTTTAAGGAGAAAAAACATGTGTCAAAATGTGAATAAAGTATGGTAATAACTACACTCCTATCAACAAGTAATTCAGATGGAAAAGAGTTACATTCTCCAACCAAAAGATAGGGAAACTGAATGTATAAGAAATCAAGACCCCTACATATGCTGCCTACAAGAGACTCACTTTAGATTAAAAGATACACACAGACTAAAAGGAAGGGGATGGAAAAAGATATTGCCTTGATGGACCCAGAGGGTATTGTGTTGAATGAAGTAAGTCAGCTAGATAAAGACCACATGACTTCAGGTACATGTAGAATCTAAAGAACAAAATAACAAACAACAAAAACGGAAACAAACTCATAGATACAGAGAATATTTTGAGGGCTACTAGTTGGAAGGGGTGTTGGCAGGGACGGTGAAAAAGGACAAAGGGATTAAGAGGTACAGATGGATAGATACAAAATAGTCATGGAGATATAAAGTGTAGCATAAGGGAAATAGTCAACAATGTAAAAAGTATGTAAGGGGGAAGAGAGGTCCCTGATTTAGTGGGATGTCCACTTCGTGAGTTATATAGATCTCGTCACTATGCTGTGCAACTGAAACTAACATATTGTATGCCAACTATAATTAAAAAAAAAAACATTGTAAAGTGTAAATATGAGCAACTAATTGTTATACTTCAGTAAAGCTGTTGGTGGGAGGAGGAAGAGTTCTTTATATACTTTGGGTAACAGACCATCAGATATGTCTTTTGCAAATATTTTCTCTCAGTATATGGCTTGTCTTCTCATTGTCTTGAAAAATTCAGTATTTAGAATAGATATAAAGCTATTCAGATTTCTTTTTCTTTTTGTATCAGTTTTGGTAACTTGTGTTTCCAAGAATTTCTCTGTTTCATCTAATTGTCGGATTAACTGCCACAAAGTAATCTTTTTAAAGCCTGTGATGTTCCCTTATTTATTCCTGATATAGACAATAGGTGTTTTATCTTTTTTTTCTTGGTTAAGGATTTATAAACTTTACTATTTTTAAAGAACTAATATTGGGTTTTATTTATTTTTGTTTCCTAGTTCATTGATTTCTACTTTTTATTTCCTTTCTAATAACTGTAGGCTAATTTGCTTTTTTCCCTAGCTTTATAAGGTGGACTCTTCAATCATTGGTTTCAAACCTTTCTCCTTTTCTAGTATAATCATTTAAAGCTATAATTTTACTTTTAAGCACCATTTTAAGTGCATTCCATAAATGTATTTTCATTATCACTGAGTTTGAACTATTTTCTAACTTCCCTTTTGAGTTCTTCCTTGACCCATAGGTTATTTAAAAATGTCTTGCTTAATTTCCAAATATTTGAGAGTATTTGAGATACCTTATTATCAATGTCAAGTTGAATTCTTTTGTGGACAAAGAATATACTCTGATTTCAGTCCTTTGGAATGAATTGATACTAGTTTAAGGCCCAACATATATTGGTTAGCCCTCCATGTGGACTTGAAAAGAATATATATTCTGTAGTTGGTAAGTATAGTGTTCTATAATGCCTTCAGTCAGCTCTTTAAAAAAAATTTTGTCCAGAATTTATCAGCAAGAGGGTTAGTCTGATATGAGCTACTCTGACATTACCAATATTATTTTTTACATATTATTTGTGTATAATATAAACATACATAATGTATTCTCTGAAAGCATTCTGAAGTAAGAAATTAAAATTAATAGGTTATAAACAGGTTATAGTTTGTGTGATTTAATACTTGGGAAAATATTATCTTTATCCAGTATATGTGCTTTAAAGCAGTCGAATGATTTTTATGTATATTAAATGATCAGTTAAGGATGTGACAGAATGTGTGTTATTAAGCAACACCTGATACAGAGCCTGACATAATTCTTTACTGAATTTAATTAAAGATTTGTCTGTTTCTCAAGGTACACTGCCTAGTTTCTTTCCACGGTGGTCTCACATCTGAAACATGGCTACAGATTGGCTGGGCAGTATTGTGTCCATCAACTGTGGGGATAGCTTGGGTGTATATCAGGGAAGAGTGTCAGCAGTGGATCAGGTCAGCCAGACCATTTCTCTCACCCGCCCTTTCCACAATGGAGTGAAGTGCCTTGTGCCAGAAGTCACCTTCAGGTGAGTGTCCTGACTGATTCTTCCAAATCTAATTTGGTAGTTTGTGGAGCTTGAACCTAGGTCTGACTGCCAATATTCTCTTGCATAGGGCTGCTTTTGAGTAGAGTCTTGTCAGATGTGAGGTTTTGCGGTATTAGATTTTACAACCCTGCTGCCGTTTCAGCAGAGACTTCGTGTAATATCTTTGAGCTAATGATTTAGGGTTTGTAAAACATTTTTCTTATCTCTTACTAAGTGTGCAGTATTATATTATTTAAATGCGTCAAATTCAGAATAACCTTTCTGTTTTATGGTTTCACATTTTCTTTCTCAGTTTTGTATCGTTTGTGCTTTCTTAATCTAAGGTCTTTATTGATTTCCCCCCTCACAAATACATTTCTCTTTGGAGGTTTGTGTTATAATTTATCTGCAGAAGCACACTGTAGTGTGTGCCAGTAGAAGCCAGTAGCTAAAGTCCTTAGTTATAGGAATGTATTTTTCTTAGTGTTTGCCAACATATCTCAAGTTCAGCTGTTGTCTGCACATCCTTCTTTTCACCAGTTTGGCAGACTTACGTTTAAAAAAAAAAAAAAGTCTGGCAAGAGCTTCTTTGACTTTCTGAACAATACTCATACATAACCTTTTCTGTAGGTATTTCCATTCTTATTTCTTACGCCCTCTGAAGTCTCAGTAGAAAAAATACTCTTGGTGTCCAGGGCTCATTTTATCATGTATGCTTTTTATGTGCTATCCTTTTCTATTTCCTTTGAGACACTACTCCATCTTTTTTTGTCTGTGGTTTCAACCTTTATACTGTCTCTTTCCTCTCCACATTCTAACATTCCCAGGCCTCCCCTGTAGTTCAAACACTCCCCCCCCACACACACTTGCATTTATAACTATCATTTCCTTCTCTTTATATGCATAATTTTTTTCAGAGCAAAATAGTCTGCCTTCATTTCCTTTGTGACTTCATTCTCTAGTCCCTCCTTACTCCACCATTATCTTTTTTCTAACTTTTCTAACTCATCTTGCTGAACTAGCTCTTGCCAAGGTTACAAATGACCCAGTTGACAAAGTTAGTGGCAGTGTCTCAATTATAATCTTATTCAAATATTCCCTAACTGTTGAAATAGCTTCTTTTAGTTTTTCTAGTTCCTCTAGTCACCCTTTTGGTTTTTTTTTGTTTTTTTTTTTTTTGGTTTTTGTTTTTTTATGTATATTCATTCCTGTATATTTCTTTCTTTTTTCCCCAGGTTCCTTTTTTTCTACTCATGTCTTAAGTTTGGTGTACTCAAATTTCTATCTTTGATTCTTTTCTCATTATGTACTCTAGGCAATTTCATGTGTACTTTCTTATACATCAGTAAGACCTTAAATCTTTTTTTAGTAATAATAATAAACATTTATTGAATTCTTACTAAATATTAGACCTAATGATTCACATATATCATATTTATACCCATAAGAATATTTATAAACTGTCATTGTTATTACTGATAACTTCTGTTTGTCTATACCAAATCTTTAATTTAGAACCACTTTCCGAGCTCCAGACACTGGTCATTTCCAGGTAGATATCCTACAAGATATCTTAAATTTAAGATTTTCAGAAGTGGTGGTGACAGAAAGAAATCTAACTCTGAGAGATGAACTCACAGTATAAATAAATAAATAAATAAATACACACACACACACACACACACACACACACACACACATATATCTTACTGTTTAAAAAAAGAAAGATTTTCAAAGGTGAACTCATTATGTTATCTGCAGGTTTCTTCTTCCAAAGGTCTACCATTAGTAGGTGACTAATGATACCTTTCACTCAAGTTAAAACTTAATCATAATAAATTCTTCTTTCTCTTTGATCCTCATGTTCACTTAGTCACCAAATACTGTGGATTCCAAATGTTTCTTGGTTTTACTCTCCCTCTTCCCTTTGCTTTGACATTTGCCCCGTTCATCACCTCTTATTTCTTGCCTGGTCTCCTAACTTGTGCTTTTGCCTCTAGTTTCTCCACCTTTCCTATGGCCACTAGAAAAATCCAGTGTTGTTGTGATCTGGTCCCTCCACAGCTTTACCTCCTGATGGCCCTCTAACAAACATCCTTCCCTTTAGTCACATCATAACATTTGCAATTCTTCAAGAGGGCCACGTTTTCTGTCTCTGAGCCTTGGCCTGAGATGCCTCTCCTGCTTGGCCAACTCTTACTTTCTCTACCCACCCAGACTTGGTGTACATGTTTCATCCATCTCTGCCAAATTAACTTTTGTATTTTTCTTTTGGGGTCTCTAGTCTCCTGTGCACACCTTTGTTACAGTATTTACCACTTTTGATTGTCTTGTCTTTTCCGCTGACCAGATTGTGAGTTCTTTGTGGCATGTATTGCTTTTTATTTCTATATACCCTATTCTTAACGCAGGGCTTACTACACAGTGAGTACCCTATATGTGCCTACTGAATGAGCAAGTGAGTAAATGAATGAAAAGAAGCTATTAAACATTCGGAAACCTAACATCCTAATGACAGTTTTGTGATTCACAATAGGGCTCTTTAAAGGCCAGTGCTGTGTCAGTTTAATGTTGGTGGCTGTGCCTTGTCTTTAAGTGCTCTATCACCTTTCCTAGTTTTTGCCTTTGATAACTCTTTGAAATACAGCCCCGCAAAGGTGTAGCTGGTTGCTGTTGATTTCGGTTTCATTACTGTTATCATTATTGTAGTTTTGAGACTTGGATTCTTTTGTGTATTTCAGGGCAGGTGACATTACGGAATTAAAAATTCTGGAGATACCAGGTCCTGGAGAAAACCAGCATCTTGGAGACCTTCATCAGACAGAATTAGGCTCCTCTGGTGTTGGATACCAAGTGGGTATCAATCAGAATGGCACGGGCAGGTTGGTCAAGAAGCCATCCTCTTCTAGCAGTGCCCCTCAGAACATCCCTAAGAGGACAGATGCGAAGAACCAAGATGCTGCCGTTTCCCCCCAGCAACAGCAGTGCTCCAAGAGCTATGTGGACAGGCATGTGGAGCCCTTGAGTCAGTCCAAAAGTTTCCGTCGTCGGCACAACTCTTGTAAGTTGGAGCAAGTTGGTCTTTCTTCTTAATCTAATGTTTGAGGGCTGTAAGTTCTTATCCATTGCTGTTCTGTAAACAAGTCCTTTGTTATCCTAATAAAAAGGGATCCTGGCAGAGCTTCACAGAAATACAGCCTGGTTCTCTTGTTCCAGGGCTATTTCCTCAAGATATTAAGAGAAAGGAAATAAGCTGTTAGAGACTCACATTGGTTCCCTGCTCTCTCCTACCACTTCCTTCCCTTTCTTCAAGAAAAGTCAGTAATCTGCCTAGAGTTCACATACACAAAAGTGATGTTGTTTCTAATCTGGTAACTGATTGTCATAGTGATGTCTGAGTTGAGCCTGCATTTGGGCTGTCCCAAGAGATTCTTGAATAATTTTTCTTCTTGTGATTTGGCTCCCATCCTCAATTAGATAAGAGGAAGGGACTGGCCTAGATGTCTCTGTGATTTAACAATTTCTCACAAACTGACAATTGTCAGTTTGCTGTACTCACTGTCCCTACTGGCACATCCAGGAGAGCATGCACAGGAGTGTGTGTTGTTGTCCAGTTTTGTTTGGTACTAGCAAATTACTGAATGCCATTTTCTCATTATAGAACCATAGTTAATTCACTGGAATCTGGTATGCTCTTTTAACATATTCACTAAAATAATGTTATAATAGTGAGTTATAACAGATTCACTAGAACCTGTGCAGCATCTTTGTCAGGGGCAAACATTTTTAAATTTTGAAAATACCTGATTCCATGAATCAGCTATTGGAATTTCGATAATCAAAACAATGTATTTCAAGGCACTTTCCTTCAGTCTTCTTAAATAACTTTATAAATTGACAATGATTGAAATCCTGAGACTGAAGTTGAATTGTTACTTCTGTATCCTTTGAAAAACTGTAGAATGCTTGGCTAGAAAATGATCCTTTCCATTTAGACTTGCTTTATTCTCTCTTTAAAAAAACAAAAACAAAACTTTTATCTCTACTGAAAATATTCACTTATTTGTTAAAAGTTCAAATAGTCAAGCAGTTTAAAATCTCATGCACTTGGAGATAATCTTTATTAACAATTTAGGTATTATTTTTTCTACATATTTTTCTCCCTATCATTAACATCTTATCTTACATTAATATACATTTATTACAATTAATGAACCAGTATTGATACATTATTATTAATGAAAATCTATTTTTTATTCAGATTGCCTTGGTTTTTACCTAATGTCTTTGTTACAGGCTCCCATCCAGCATACCACATTATGTTTAGTAGTCATGTCTCCTCTTGGCTCTGATGGTTTCTCAGTTTCATTGTTTTTGGTGACCTAGACAATTTTGATGAGTACTGTCTTGTATTTTGTAGAATACTCCTCAATTGGTATTTGATATTTTTCTTGTGACTAGAGTAGGGTTATGTGTTTTGAGGGTATAAAGTGCCATTTTCATCACATCATATCAAGGATATTTGCTTTCGACATGGTTTATGACTTTTGATGTTGACCTTGGTTGCCTGGCTGTGGTAGTGTGTATCAGATTTCTTCTGTAAAGTTACTCCTTTTCCCCCCTTTCCATACTGTGCTCTTTGGAAGGAAGTCACTATGAGCAGCCCACACCTAAGGAGTGGGGAGTTATACAGAGTATTTATATAAGTCATGTGGAATTCTTCTGCACCAGAGATTTCTCCCCCATGTATTTATTTATGCAATCATTTATTTTTATCAATATGGACTCATAAGTACTTACTTCATTCTTAGGGTTAAATTCAATACTGCTTTATTTTAGTGCTCATTGTTTCAGCTTTGGCTACTGTTAGCTCTTTCAGTTGGCTACTGTATCCCTTTGACATGCCCCTATCGCACGCACTTTGACATGTACTCCTTGTGGATTTTTTTCCCCCCAGTACTTCTTTATTGTCTGGTACTGCAAGATGCTTCAGGTTTATCTTCTGTGTTTCCTGCCCCAGTCCTAAATCAGCCATGTCTCCAAGGAGCCCTGTTTCCTTTTATTGGAGAATGGTGTTACAAACCATGATCTGGGTGCTAGGCGTACTCATTTGTACTGGTTGTTGCCCTTTCAGCTGACAGAGCAAGGAAATATATATGTATACTTAACCAGATTATATACACATACCTATAAATATTTGTGTTTGTAATCTTCTGTACTATATGAAGCTAAATATGAGTTTATAGTCATGTCTCCAATTTTAATCCAGTACCACGTGAATCATTCTAGCCTCCTCATCTGTAACCTCTCTGACAGTGAGAAACCTGTCTCTTAACCATCTGCCATCCATTGACTTAAATTACTCAATTCCAGTATTCCTGTATAGCAGAATCAGAATTGACCTGTGCCCCCGACCCCTTCATTGACTTGTTTCATACATTTATAACAAGTTGTCACACTCTGCATTCCATCCTGGAGTCCTCCAGCCTCCACAGTGATGTTTTTTTAAAATATGCATACATTAAATCTCATTCATGGTGCTTTTAAAGTTTTTGGTTTGAATAAATACATAGTGTCTTCTATCCATCATTACAGTATACAGTACTGTTTCACCTGTTCAGTCCGTCCTTTTTTCCTTCCACGACCTCTCTTTCTTGCCCCAGCAACGACTGATCTTTTTACCATCTCCATTGTTTTGCCTTTTTTCGTAGAATATCACTTAAAATCATACAGTATGGTAGCCTTTTTAGATTGTCTCCTTCCACTTAACAATATGCGTTTAGGATTCATCCATGTCTTTTTGTGGCTTAATAGCTCATTTCCTTTTATTGCTGAATAATGTTTCATTGTATAGATGTTTGTTTATCCTTTTACCTATTGAAGGACATCTTGGTTGTTTCCAGCTTTTTGTGCTTATGAGTAAAGCTGCTATAAACATTTGTGTACAGGTTGTATGTGGACATAAGTTTTCAAATCAGTTGTGTAAATACCTAAGTGCAGGATTGCTTGATGTTACGGTAAAACTATCAGGTTTGGTTTTTTTTTTCTTTTTTTCTTTTTTTTTTTGTTACTAACAATTGCAGCAACTCTTGAAAGAGTGCAGTTAACTTCAAAACAAATTATTTGGTCTTAAGTCACCTCTGGTATATTAAAAAGCGTAGTCACTCTCAAAAGTATACCCTGGTTGATTCTGCTGCTGGCTTTTGCCATTTGGTCCATTCCCTTCTCCTAGATTATTAACTGCACAAAAATAAAATAAAGAGGTCATGGGCAGAAAAATGTTATTCTCTTTCGGAGAACTTCTTTTGAATCCAGATTAGAGTGGAAAATGTCTCTGGCCTGGGAATTTGATCATGAAATGTGGCTCAGAATTGGTTTGTGAAAGAAGATAGAGTTACATCTATTTATATGTTCAGTGAGCCCTGTAAAATGAACAGAAAGGTCTGCCAGAGGTTGACTTACTTAGCATTTCTGTAATATTTTAAGGATTCCAAGTAAATAGATATTTTTCCTCACCACAGTTGTAATGTAGGTTATCAATGTTTTCCTCATTGATGAAAAAATGGAGATTAAGTATTTTTTTCATTAAAAATCTATAAATAAAATTTCTTCTGGTATATGTACATTGATGTTGAGACTAGTAGATTGATAAAGCTATAGGAATATAATCTCTTCAGTTCTGATTTTTAAGTGTTCTTTCAAAGTTTGTAATGAATTGTTGAATGATTTGTTGCTTCTAGTTATCTAATCCAATATTAATGAGTTAGCGCAAGCAGATTTTAATCTCTTCCTTTAGGTGTGAGGGGACAGTTATAAAGAATAGTCTCTATGTTCTTGGTCGTTGAACTGACCACTCAGGATATTTTCAAGTAGATGGATGGAACATCAGTCCCAGGGAGCAGAGGAAAACCACTTGAGGTCTGCTAAGGGTACAAGTTTGTGTGTGGTCTGTTCAGTTTGACAGCCCACCATCTGAGGTCAGAAAGTTGTTTTTTGCCAAGTTTCATAGTCCTACTGAGGTCCTGCTGTGACTTCTTAACCTCTTTGAATGTGCTTCATTTTTCCAACAGACTTGAAAATCTTGGTGCTGCTGCTGGAGCCCAAGAGTTGACATTACCAGGGCCTAGAATTGGGGAGTTGAAAAGAAGGTCCCAGATGTTTTCAGGTACCTCCTCATGAAGGCCATTGAATCTGGCACTAAAACATTTGCAATTTGACCTTCAGGGTTTTTCCCATTAGCTTACGTGCTCCTTGGAAAGTTAACGTGAGAACACAGGTAACTACAGAACAAAGTAGGTAGTATAAAGTAAGTGCTAGATGAATGGTGCCCACACTGCTACAAGTTGTCTGATGGTAGTGATTTTTCAGCTGGAGTTATCAAATAAAAATGAGAAATAGCTTAAAAGTTTATCAGTAGGTATGGTATATATATCAATATTGTGTCTATAATTTACGCAGCCATAAAAAATATTTGGAGAAGTCTTTTATGAATCAGGAAGAAGCTCCTAAGCAGGAAAGCAGGATACAAAACTTCATAAATGAGAGATGCATATTTTTGACTGAAAGAAAATACATCAGAATGTTAAGTGAATATCTGTAATTTTCTATATATTTTTTGCATTATCTCCTATGGACATTTATCAACAAAAAGATAGTTTTAAAGAAGGAATACTTATTTCCTGATGCTTTCGAATTGTTTTTTTTTATTTGTTTGTTTACTATTCTGCTTTGTCGAATAAGTTTTTTGCTTTTGCCTTGTATGCTCATTTCTAGACATGATCCTCTCCACTAGTTCTTTTAACTTGGCCTGGGTCTATCAGTTACATGGTTTCTCTACTCTTGTTTCCACTTTTTATATGTGGAAATAGTGTGGAATTGGGAATCTGACAGATCAAAGTTCATATCCTAACTATTTATTAGCTGTGTAAATTTAGAGCACCCTTAGTTTCCTCATATGTAGAATAGTTAGGTTTAATCAGGTTTTGAAGACAAACTGAGATAATGTATATATTAAAGCCTGAGATGGTGCCAGGCACATAGGTTCTGCAAGATAACAAGTGG